CTCCCCACCCACTTTACTTTAAACATTATCGAGGTGTTTTACTTTTAAAACGTTTATTTTGGTGATTATATCATCAATTTTTCTTCGTGTTTGTCTCTGTAGCGAAGAAAGGCTTAATAGAAGGGGACAGTCAGCTGGTTGCTTCTTGGCCACGCCCTCCTAGAACTAGATACGAGATACTTGATCTAAATTCGAAAATAGGAAATTGCATACCATTCATTGATATACGTATAGGAACATGGGTACCTGATATAAAATGTCATCCAGGTCAAAGCGCAAAGTTGGCTCGCGCTACAGAAACCTGAAGGTCTACCTTTGTTTTTGTCCTTGTACTTTTAAAAATAGATCTTTTTGGTCTTTTCATTTTCATTTTTATCTCTTTTATTTTGATAACAATTTTAGCATAACACTTTACTCACTAAATTTCTTGAAATACAATCCTAAATTTGTATTAAATAGTTTTCATTGTATATAAGATTTGCATTAAAATGTTGCAAATAGAGACGAAAAAAGTACATGGACTAAAACAGACGTTTTGAAAGTACATGACTAAAATGAACAAAATTTGAAAATACAGAGAATAAGAGAACATTTTGAAAGTATAAAAACCTAAATCAACCAAAAGGTGAAAGAATATAAACTAAAGTAGTATTTACACCTATATTCTCTCTTTTTGGCCCATTTTCAATGGTAAAGAATGGTAAAATAAATTTGTAGATGTGCATAACGGAAGAAACTAAAGAAGAGCTCAACTACAAGAAGTCCGAGTGAGACCATTGTTAGGTAAGATCGACAATTTTTGGCCTCCTACAAGTTAGAGAACCCATATTCCGATTATCTTCTTGAAGTATGTGTAACTACGAACTTTATCTGAGAAAGCAAAACATAAGCATTTAATACAAGCGTTAAGATGTCGACACCAAAAAAAAGTTTATCGAGATCATGAGCGTTGGATGATAAGTAGGTGTTGTGACTTGTACTAATCACTTATTGCTAACTACAAATAGTTGCAAAGCAAAATTAATTTGAGAACTAAAGGATCAAATTTTAGGGAAGGTGTGGAAGTTGAAAAAGACATGGTGGGGAACCCTATATGGTAAGGGACCATGCAAGTAATGGATATGTGTAGGTGTGGAAGATGAACACTTTTTTTTTTTTTCCAATTAATGGTGGCCCAATAATTTCCCAAGTGACGGATACAAGGATAAGGGAAGAAAAAAATCTTCAATGTATTTACATTTGAATCTATAATCCTATAATCCTACTAAGTGTATTAGTTTATATAGACTTAATATTCTTTTCTACAAAATAGAATAGTTGGGATGTGACTCGAGATCTTTTAATTTCAACTAAGATTCAATAGAATAGAATTTTTTTTAGTACAACATGTGTGGTGGAGATTTACGACTTCTTGATCATAAATAAATGTTTTAACCCGTAATTGACCGATGGAATATAGTTTTAGAGTTGATATGATTAATTGGTCGAGTACGAATAAATGAGTTTTGACTTTGGAGGAAATAGTGGAAAGACTACATTTACTGAGGTATTCGATAATTTATTTTCAAAAACACAATTAATTAACCATCATGAGTGGCTCATTGGTAGAAAGGAACTAGGATAAATTGAGAGGAAATAGTTTCAAATCCCATGATGGCCAACTACCTTAGCAAGTGGCAGAATATATTTTCATTAATTCCTAAGTATATTTTCATTGAATTTTGTTCTAAAACGTATAAAATTTTTAGCCCTTATATTTTCCAACTCTTGTTTTAAGACAAGGATAATATTGTAATTTGGGAAGGGCAAAAATGAAAATGGAAGGTTCTAACTTAGAAATTAATGTTTCCTACCTAACTCCATTTGGACAAAGAGAAATGGCAAAAAAGAAAAAAAAAGTTTGAAAAAGGAATACACTTTTTCCTCGAAAAGTAAAATCTTACCATAGATTCCCAACTTTAAAAGGGATCCCTATGAAGTCTTGTGCAATTGCTCTCTTTTTTGAACACTTTATTCATTGGCTAAACATTTACCCACTCAATCTTGAAGATTCATTTTAAATAAGAAAATAGAAAAACTAAACTTGAAGATTTGGTTTTAAGAATAAAAATCTATCATCAAAAGGGTATTATAGTAGTTTTATAGCTCTACTACTCCTATTAAAATCTACCTTTTATTATAATTCTTCTAACTTCAATCTTTCGGTCAGTATGAGTATAGTTCAACTATTTCTGATAAATAAAATTGTAGAAATTATTAATAATTATTGATTTCTATTGATATTAATTAAATACTAGTTTATTATAATGTGTTGGTGGAGTATTTTTTTTAATTTATTTATCACGTAGTAACAATACATATATTATTATTTGAACTCTTTCAAATATATATATATATATATTATCATTTGAGCTATTTGGTATGTTTTTTATCTTTTAAAAAATAACATTAGATTCTTCACGTTTCCAAATGTAAATAATATAAGTAAACCCTGGTAATATCAATATTAAAGAGTTGAGAAAATATATATAATCTTTTTATCTCCAAATATTTTATAAAATTTTAAAATGTGAGAAAATACTATTTTTTCAAAAGTCTAAACTAATATTTAGAGCAGTTATTAATTACAAGAAAGTTTCAACCTATAATAGAGTTACAAATATTGGCTGGAACAAAAAAAAAAGAAAAAAAAATATATATATATATATATAGAGTTATAAATGTGAAAATTAGACTTAATAAGATCTAAATCCTAAAACTTGTTTGGAAATATTGTTTTCATCGAAACCCCTTAATTTCTAAAGAAAAGAATATTTAAATCAATAGAGATTTAAACTAATATCTTTTATTTATTAAAGAATAAAGAAAAAAACAATTGAGTGTGAGCAATTATTTGAAAAAGTAAACAATGAAGAAAAACACCCGTTGTTTTTCTAAAGTTGAGATAAACAAGATTTCAAGAAAATAAGAAGTATACGACAAATTGTTTCGTATATACTTATATGTTAATATTCGATGCCAAACAGAACATATATAGCTCAAATGGTCAAGACACTAAAAAAAATTGATAAATGTGTTCTAGTGTATTTATTTTGTCGAACACAAAAAAAGTTTAAATACTATTTTGGTCCATTTCAGTTTTTTTTTTTCATTTTAGTTTCTATATTTTTAAAATGTTTATTTTAATCTTTCTATTTTCAACTTTTTTATTTGTTAATTTTAGTTCATATACTATCAAATTGATCATGATCTTTAAAAAAGTGACCCGTTTGGTCTCTATTTATAAAATTTTATAAAAACCCTTTAATACAAACTCACGACTAACTTTCAAAAAATTTAGTGAGTGAAGTGTTAAATTAAAATTTTGATGGAAAGAAATGAGAAGAAAATTAAAATGAACAGACCAAAATGGTCATTTTTTACAAGGATCAAAACGAACCTTTCGAAAACACATTGACTAAAAGAAACAATAGTTGAAAGCACATGAACCAAGATAGACGTTTAAAAAGTACAGAAACGAAAACGAATCAAAGCCAAACGCACATGGACTAAAATGATTGTATTTAAACCAAAAAGAAATGGTCAAAACTTATAAACACATTGAGTTTAATTTTGAAATTGCACACACCTACTAGGCAATTTAGAAACAATCAAACCCTAAAGGGAAAGTTGATGCACTTAAACATATTTATAGTCTCAAATTACTTTTAATAAATACAACCATATAGCCAATCAAAGTCAACCCAAAACATACCTAAAAGATATAATAATGATAAAAATAATACATGTATGTATAAATAACATACATACATACATAATAAGAATATAGGTGTGTGTGGAAAGTAATTTGAAATTAATATTGGAAAATGAATGGTAGGTTGGAGGGTAATACACCTAATTTTAATTAAAGAGGTTGGTTGAAAGATGGTACTAAATTTGGAGAGTTGGTAGTTCCTCCATGTTAATTTGCTTCTTTTCATTAATTATACTAGAGAGAGAGAAAAACACTTACCCCACCCACTTTTTTTTATTATTATTTGAATATTAGGGAAGGGAAAAAGATGGTTTGATCATAAATTGGACAAATAAAAGAGATTTGAACCTAAGTTCGAGAAACCTAAATTAGAGAAAAAAAATAGATCTGAACTAAAGTTTGGAAGAAGGTTATCGACCTGTTATACTAATGAGTAAACCAAACAATAGTTCATTTCTTAATAAATATTTGGATATTAGAATTATTATAATTCACGGGTGGATTTGATATAGTGTTCATTCAATTAAGAAACGGCGCTAAAAATGAATAGGAAATTATAAGATAAATTAAAAATAAATAAATATGAATATGACATTATGGGAGAAAGGATTATGATCCTCCTATGTATACCATTTACTTGTGTTTTTAGCATTTTATTTGGAAAAAACATCATTTTAGAAATAAATATAACTACAAATGTAGTCCACCCCATTTCATTTATATTAGATAATTACCTTATTGCTCCATTTGGATTATATGTGTTGTTTGATGAATATTAAATAATATTATTTGGGATCTCAATAAATATTTGATGTTAAATATCTACATTTATACGTTTAAGAAAATTGATAAATTTTTACACCAAAATATTAATCAAAAGTGAGAAATTTTAAATTTAAAGCAATTAACTAAATCTATTATCATAACGCTAAAATGTAAATTATAAGTAGTAACTAAAATTGATTAGAATTATTTTTTTAGTTCAGCAACATGTGACGACAGAAATTTGAGATCCTGATCTTTTTCTTTTTACCCAATTTTCGATTATTTCAATTTTAGTTTTAATATAGAACTCAATTCAAACCAACATCTTTCTCACGCCATATTTTTTAGTTAGTTTTTCACTAGTTTTTGTTGAATTCAATGAACATTTCCTACTTTTCCTAATTACAAATTTATATAACTGAAAACATTATAGTGAACAAAATTACTCCTTGAAACATATAACAATTGATGAACCCATTTTTTTCATTTCTGATTTATCTTCACTACATATATATATTATTATAAATAAATCAAAGAAAGAAAAAAAAAACACTTTCCAAAAGTGTCATTTAATCTCCAAACTTCTACAATCCAATACACAACTTTTCAATCCCAAAAAATCATACCCATTTTTGTTGTTATTATTTTTGCTCTCACTCGAAGTTTTACCATTTCCACAGCTGCAATCTTTACTATTCTGCAGCCCCAAACTGCAAAAGAAGCAAAGACTGCTTCTCCCTCCCTTCGCCGCCGCCGCCGGCGGGCTGATTCTGAGGTCGAGATTCAAGTCCGGGCACCGTTCTTGATAATCTGCCGGAGCATAATTGATCATAATTTGGTTGTTCTTTCTATCTTCAAGATCTTCTACGGTGGCAGTCGCCGGAGATTTTGACCGATATGGGTTTGTAATCGGCCGGTGAGTCGCCGGGTCGATCCCTCGGCTCAAGAGCTTTCGTTTTATGTGGGTGTTCCAGTAGTTCTTTATCTCGTTATCAGTTCTTCCCGGTAATCTTACAGCTATTAGAGACCATCTGTGTGAAAAACAAAAAGTACCCATTAATCAAAGGTCTCTCAAAACAGCATGAATTGATGTAAATTATTGATGGGTCAAGATATTTTTGGTATACCAATTTAAATTCAAAGCGGATGCATGAACTTTCTAATCAGCTAAACTAAATTCTTGATGGGTCAAGTTCAAGTTTAGATTTTGAAGTTCTCAAGGCAACAAACAGATGCAAATTCCAGATGGGTCAAGTTCAAAAGTTCAGATTTTGAACAATTCTCCATCATCAAGTTTAGATTTTGAACCTCCCAATCCAACAAACTAATACAAATTCTAGATGGGTCAAAGTTTTATATCGACAACTCTGAACATACGAAAATATCATATCATTATAGAAACATGAACACAGACCCACCTATTTCCAAGAAGGCTATGGAGTTTGATGATGATCTCGTCCTCTTCTTCAGTGAAATTTCCGCGTTTAAGGTCGGGGCGGAGATAGTTGATCCACCGCAACCGACAGCTCTTACCGCAGCGGAGGAGGCCGGCGGCTTTGGGGAGGGAGCGCCAGCAGCCCTCACCATGGGCTCTAATATAGGCTATGAGACGATCATCTTCTTCCTTGGTCCATGCCCCTTTATTTGTATGAGCCTTCTCACAGCAAGGAGATCTTCCCATTGATTATTTTTCCAAATTTTGAAACAAGAATTGAACAAACAAGTGACAATATATATATATATGAATGAATGAATGAGAAAAGAAGGAGAAGAAGAAGATTAATTGAACATTAAAACTTTATATTATAATTGGGGGTGTGACTGAAAATATTTGAAGATTATATATTTAAAATGGGGGGCATGGCTTTAATAGGATTTTGACTCATTTTGAGAGCTAGAGAGAGAGAGAGAGAGAGAGAGAGAGAGATTGATAGCTTCTAGATGTGAGTTGGTAAGATAGGTTTGATGGAGTTGGCTAATGGGACCCTTCTTTTTTTTTTTTTTTTTTGGGTTTGATTAAAAATTAGCATTAATCATATAAATTTTGAGTTCATTAAATTATGGGGTAAACTTAAGGTAGGTATAAAGTGAGGTATCTTGACAACAAACAATAATATATCATGTACTATCTGCCTTTTTGTTTTCTCTCTTTTTTTTAAACTACTTTTCTCTTTTTCTTTTATGAACTCTAAAACAGAGTACCAAATAAGAACATGATAAATATATATAATTATTTCTTTTTGTTTTGTTCTTTGAGAATCCAAAGTTCAAAACCCATATGGGAATTTAAATTTTTTTCGAAAAACGATACTTATTTACTACCCACTACTAAGTTTTTTGAAAAAGCTATTTGCGTTCATTTTCTTCTATTTGTCAAAAATTTAGCGGTGAAGAGTAAGAAGTCGATTCGCATGGGGAAGGTATGTAAATGTAAAATTAACATAAGGGGAAAGGGGAGATCTGGTAGAGCATTAGTTATGAGAAAATCATGATGAGGAGTGGTTTTGGGCCATTTTTTTTGTTTGTTTTTTTGTTGTGCATATAAGCTAAAGAGTGGTTGTTGTGAGCTCTTTATTCTTTAGGTAGGCTATCATACAAACCAAGAGAGAGAAAAAGACAGAGAGATAGAGAGAGAGAGAGAGAGAGATCAAAGAGAGAAGGTTTTCTAGAAGAGTTTATGGTGGTTTGGTACAAAGCAAGATGATAAGAAAAGATAATGAATATGAATGTGGTTTACCTTTTCTTCTCTCTCTTCTACCTTTTCTTTTTCTATCGGAAGATAAATCGTCTAATTCTACAATATTTTGTTTTTAAAATTCATGGAGTTTTAATATTTTAACAATATAGGTGATGCACCATGAATTTGAGTATATTTTTGCGAAGAAGCTGCTCTAGAACAACTAGTAGTAATTGGTTTTGAAAAAATATGGAGGATTTTAATATCCTAATGTAGGAAACTATCCTCTCAATAAAATCGCTCTACTTTTCTTCACGTGCTCAATGTTAGGTTCAATGCAGGACAAACTGTTTTGACTTTACGATATTTAGTTGTTAGGAAACTCGTAAGACTTAAATAACTAAGTGGGTGGGGGAATTATTATAGGTTTGAATCCATTCCTCTCTAGTCTGATTTTACTTTTTTTTTTTTCTCGCAAAATTCCATTAGGGCCAATAATCCTTGGTGATCTTTTATGCAAGTTTTTGGGCAACAAAAGGGTGAAGTTTGGGAGAGAGAAAGGACTGACAAAACTTCACCAACCCAACCACACAATTCCAATGGCAGAATCAAAAGTTGGAAGAAAGAGAATTTAACTTTCAAAAGCATAGATATTTGAAGTTGAAGATGAAGAGGGCAAAATATCTTCATTTCCCAATTAAAAATTTGCTTTTTCATTCATCCCTAAAAACTATACTAAATTATTGAAACGTCTCTTTTTCTTCAGAAAATCCAACTTGGAAAAATTGTTAGAAACTAATTGAAATATAAGGACCAAATAACCAGGATTTCAAAAGTTTAAAACTCCTATTAAAAATGAATAATGGCGAGAGGAGAGATTGGTTAGTAGATTTTCCTTCAAATGACTTTATGAAATGAAATTACGGTCTCGATACTTTCTACAAGCAACGTATGAGAGACAATATCTCTATTTTTCTTTCCATATTTTTTTCGTATCCACTCAAAAAATGTCAAAGCATTTCCTACTATGATTCGAGCGACAATAATGGTGTCACTCTTCTTGTATCAATAGAAGAATTATCTAAGCTTATATATCTGTAACGAATAGACACAATCTTGATTATGTAATTTATTTGAAACGAGTTGTTTGGTTTTAGTAATATAATATAAAAAATAATAATAATAATAATTTTTTTGGTTGGAAATAAGAGGGGGAAAATTGGTGAAAGACAGCAGGGCAGCACTTGGGTTTGAGTTATCACGTGTTTAGGTATTGAACAAATACATACTCCTCGGCCTCTCCTAAAGGCTAAAACCTCTTACCTAACCTCTCTCTCTTTCTCTCTCCTATGCCAAAAAATGGAGGTTTTAATGTTCTCTACCACCAACTACCGACTATTATTGGTCTTCACGAAATTTTTTTTAATACCGCTTTCATTCATTGTTAGTCACGTAAGCATCATTTTAGAATGATGGGAAGTTTACCAACACGATTATAGAATTATTTTTTCTATAGATATATCGATAAAAGAAATCTGGAGAGAAATTGATGGCTTAAAACATATGAGTTATTTTCTCAAAATTAAAAATTCTCTAGGTTAGTATAAACATGAGAGAGAATACTCAAAAGAGAAATGAGAGAGAGAGAGATTAAATCCAATTTTAAAAATTAGTCACTATGAGAAATGAGTTAATCGATGGCTATCACTTAATTATGCTTAATTAAATACTACATTACTTATCTATTATTATTACTATTTAATTTGGTTAGTTAGTTGATTAATATATTACTTGCTTCTTAATTAATGAGTTTTCGTAAGAATCAATTTGGCAATTGAAAATAACTTACTTTATTTGACTTAATATTTATTTGTCTAATTTGTAATTCACTAATTAAGTAATAACAATGCGTAAATTGAAGTTTTATGCAAAACCAGACATTTCATCAAAGTTTCAAATTTCCATGGGAAGAAAATTTTAAGTCAGCAAAATATTTATTCAATTAAAAGAACCTTTAAGTTATTTTCTAAGGTTAATGGATAGAAAATTGATTTAAAAGATGCATAAAAAATCATTTTTAAGAGATCCATTAAGTAATATCCATGTTTCTTGTTTCTCATTCCCTTCGTTTCTTCTTTTAATAAAGATAAAATAATGCTTTTATTTATATTTTGAAGAAAGTTGAAAATAAAAACAAACAAGAAATGAGAATAGTTACCAAAAACTAAAAACGAAAAACATTATCGAACTCACTTTTAAGTTGTCAAGTTCAAATTACAAAATAGGTGCATGGAGAATGGAAAGAGGAATGTTTGGCTTTATTATTTTTTCTTCTCACTTTCTTGTGTTTGGTAACATTGATTTGATGTAACACTCTAGAAACCTCAAAATGGTCTATTGGCCACACTTTTCTTCCTGGGTTTGGTGTGGAGTGTACAAAAAGCTTTAACRAAAGAACACAAAATCCAAGCCAATATGAAACAAGGCTAAATTTATTTTCTGTACTAAAAGTGGAAAGTTTCAATTAGAAGGGTGAAGTCTGTTGGCTCTGCCTCTACAGTCTTCTAGAACCACTGAAATTTCCTATTTGGTTGGTGAGGAAAAGGAATGGGGGAGTGGGTTTGAAGAAGAGAGAGAGATTAGAAACAAGAAGAGAGACAGATTCCCCATTCAACAAAAGGCAGCTGTGTTCTGTAAGTTCCTTGTAAGTTCAAAACGTCCAAACTTGATGTGTTCCCAAAAGTTCCTCCTAGTCCCATTTCAATTTGGTCCTTTTTTTTACTTTTTATATCCGTGTGTCCGAACCAGCTTGCGACTAATCACGGAATAACTGCCTGCCCTACTAAAATCCTAGGTAAGTGGCTACCATGGTTACCTCAACATTTATCGACCATTAGACCAACCTACCATGGTTCATTTTGGTTGTTTTCTACCACCATGAATATTATATTGTCACCTTCAACCATCAATAATACACCAAAATCTCACTAAAAAGTGGCATTCTAGTTAGTTTTTTTTGTTGAATTTGGACATAATAATGGCCAATTCATCCCAAATGAAAGATAATTTACCAAAGTCAAACTGAAGCTTTTCTATATACAACAGCTAAAAAAGTACCTTTAACTGGTGAAGCTCTGAAAAGGGCCAACAAGAAATTTCACAGGGCAGTAAACATATAAAGCAAGTCATAAATTTTCATGGTATGATGATAATCTTGAATCTTGGTGACTGATTTTGTTTATAAAGCTAATGCCTAGAATCATATTATGATGTCTAGGTTGTCTTATTGAGATGTTTCAGATCTCAAATGCACAATTTGCATTGCAAGGTCTCTAGAAAGGACCTCAACATTGCTATATAGACAAGTAACTCTAGTCGACCTTGCTAAAGTGATTACTTCATTTTTTTGCGGATTTCATAGAAGTAGCTCAGAATTACCACGGCAGCTGCAACCGCAACTCCGACAGCACCTTGTGCCAATACAGTGCTGTCCTTCACAATGGCCTTCCCAAAGCTGGGAGTGAACCCAAGCTCTGAAAGTTTCTTGTGTGATGCAGCATAACCTTTGAAGAACGCATCTTCATCCTACCATAAGAATAGTATAAGTAACGTAACTGCATAAAATGGTTAAATCATATTCTTAATCCTTAAACTATGGCATACCTTTCAAATGAATACTTACTTTTGATTTTTAATCAATTCGATCTGAACTATCATTAAATTGTTGAATCATTTTCTTTAAAGTCTGTTATAATGTCACGAATGTGACATTAATGCAATGCATCCATGAGTTGAGGGACAAAATTGACAAAAACTACGACATTAAATTTACATGGCAAGCAGAATTCAAATGGCAAGATGATACAAATCGGAATTACAAATCAAACCATTCTTAGTTCCAAAAGGTATCTCTTATCTATCATACATGGCAATCCTAGGACCAGAGGAAAACAGGAAGATGGAAGGTTTCGGGTATTTAGGTGCTCAAGAGTCGTATCAAGAAAGCCTGTTCAAATACATCATAGCTGAAAAAAGAACCACATAGTTATTGATAGGTTATTGTACTTGCTGTAGAATGGCATAAATGTTTCTACTCTCCTTCAATAGTTGTAATCTAAACGACCTTATCATTAATTGGAAGGTGTTCTTGTAACTTGCCCTATGACTTTTGTATATTTCATATCATCAATGAAATTCATGATTTTTCAAGAAAAACAAATTAAAAAGAAAAGAAAAGAAAAAAAAAGAACCATATAGAATACCAAGTTTGCAAGGTTGGAAGTAAAAAAATTTTAATCCCAATTAACMAAAGGGGATAATTGTTCTTTATCAGTAAAGAAATGGTATTGTCTAAGATAAATGGACGTATCTATGTACTGTTCACACTGGCCAAATCTAAAGTTGTAGTTAATGGCAATGATGGATAGTTAGAGACTATAAGATTTGTCCTTCAGCTAATTTCTCCACTGCTAGAGTCCAGATCAAGCAGATTCTTTATAGAAAGCATGGAAATTAACCTTAGAGTACAAAAGAAAATTTACTATTTTGACTGTTTCAGCCAGCGACTGATTTTTTAGTTTCTTCTTATGGTAGCAAAATGGTAAAATTGTCCCAAATTATATATAACATATAAAAGAAGACCTTACTTTAGCATACAATTCGACATAATAGCGGAACTCAGGATCTTCGAGTAAAGCCTTATCAGTAGGAAGTTTTAAAAGTCCCTCGTATTCTCCTTTCAACAGTTCCCTATCAACATCAAATTGACAACAATCAGAAATAATAATATACCATTGTATGGCCTATTAAGATGATATAGCAAGATTAGTCTGAGATGTAGCTCAAGTCATACACAAAGTATGAGTTATCAAACTTCAGAGGATCCTCTGTCCAAGGTCCATCAAAACCAGATCTCTCCGGATGTGCTCTTCCCTATAACATCAGAATTCACAATATATGATTCAACTAGTAAGACAATAAATCCATGCAAGAATAAAATGTGTGAAGAAATTACCAATGTGTGAGCCCCAGACAATGCAACAATATCCTTGTCAGACAGTCCCATCCTATAAAAGATGTCACGCAGATGCAGTACACCTATCACCAAAATTTAAAAAAAAAAAGTATTCTAGGGTTGACATTTAAAATTAACTTTGATAAGTGACAATTTCCTAACGACACTTGGAGCAAAAATGCACAAAACTTTGTAGAATATGACTTGACCTATCAAGATACCTTAGAAGTGCAGCTGCACAGAAAAATATATGAATGTATCATTATCATTAAACCCTAGGAGAAATTAAGAAGCAACTTCCAGTTAAATAAAAATAAATAACAAATAATGTTTCTTAAAAAATTATAGTCTAAATATCAAACACCATGTAGAAAAATATACAGTAAGATGATACTACTATCAATATGATTAAATCACAGTCAAGGCTGTGGCACTGACACCTTCTTCAGTCCAGTATGAAAACATTGCACTTTAAATATCATTATTATTACATTTAGAACCTGTAAGCAGTCCAAATATTTACCCGCTTACTTTCATCTTACAACACGAGTGAAATTTTACAGCAAATTGTGCAACTAATAATAATACTAATGGAAATTTCAGATCTTCTTCCTTCTCTCTCTTTGACAAATGACTAAATAATATATAAACCAGTTAGCTAGAAACTCAACCATACTATTATCCATTCACAGTACATAGCTAAATGCAGAGAAGGTATTTAGATATCATTCAATTTGCAGGACTGCAGAAAACTACATACAATATTAATAATTTATGATACCTTTTTTTGCATCTGGAAGTCTGCCTTCCTTGGTACAAACGTTTGAATCCTGTGGACAAAGGATTCGGATGTTACCAGAACAGATGGTATAACCATCAGATGCCACATTCAGAAAGTTAACAAATAAATCACTGTACCTTTCTACCAGGAACAAAGTCAATAGTGGGGCCTCCAGTGACCTCAACAGCAACAACACCAGCTAGCTGTATTGAGTATATTTTGAACACCATCAGATTTTTGTTAAGAAAGCATTGATGAATAGAGTAAGCTCGATAAGATCATCGTTCTTGTCATACTAGATGCACAAATATATGACAATCTTTGAGTTTGCCTTTATGAATCTGTAAGGTTGAAAGAACTATTGATCTAAGATCTGGAAAAAATGATTATCTGAAACTCTTGCATCTGCCTTCGCCTAAAATTTACACTCATCATTTGGTACTTCACCGCTCATGACTGAATCCACCTTATGCTCACTGAGGCAATAGGAACAAATATATGAAGAATTCACTCACCACATTAGGGGCATGAATTTTTTTCTTTTCCCCTTTTTTATTGGAGTGAGGTGGGAGTTGATGTGAACAATGATAATGGCCAATTTCTCACCAACTCCAAATGCAGTTCACATCTTTGAGATTTACACTATTTTATAATTGCCAAAAAATTCAACGACATTAATTACAGTACAGGACTTGTGGTTATAAAAAAATTTCTTCAATGACTCTAGTAAATAAAGTTTTCCTATTACAATCTGCACTTATTCATTTAGCTTTTATCTAGGAGTTACGAAGAGGCATATGTGAACTTGTTTGCTAAAATACAAACTTAAGCATGTATGCATATGAATTTGGAAGAAGCATGCATCTTTTCCTGGCACAAACTCCAGTCTGGAAATGATTGACAAAGACGAAGAGAGAAATTGAAATGCTTTAACAACTAAAGTCAAGTGCAAGCACTTAACCATTGAACCAACACCAATACCCAAGCAACATAATCTTCTATTCTCCATACATATCATGCCCATAAACACAAATAGTAGAGTTTTTCTTTTAATCTCATTGACATATCATTGGTCAATGGATAACAAATTTCTCACGCTGAGATTCAAAACACATGATTTCTTTAATACAGAATCTATTCCACCTAAAATAAGGTGCGGTAGACTTCCCAAGTGTAGGCATATCGACACTACTGATATAGTTCCAGTTACCTGGTACAGGTCTGCATAAGTAATCTTTGGATGTTTGGACTTCACTTCCTCTGCCAGTAAAGAAACGAAAAGATCATTAACATCGAGAAAGTTGAATTCTCTAATTCATTTGCAGAGACAAGACTCTGTATAATTTTCTATAGTCTCTTAAACTAAGGATAGATATAAATAGTAATTCCTATACTCGAAAGTGCAAGTAAAATGTGTTAATTTGCTATTTTAAGTGCAGATTCTCTGTAAATTAAAAAAAATATATATATATTTAGAAATACTTGATACAGCTCCATTGTAAATTCTAAGTTGACAGCAATAAAAATACTCCAATTGACTTTCAGTTTACATAGGAAAAGAGGAAAACCGAAGGCACCAAAAGGCATACCACAAAAATCAATAGCCTTTTTCAGGCCATTATTAGAGCCATGAGAATACTCCTCCTCATTCCTAATCGATCCGTTAGGCCCACCGGTTTTAGTACTCGCGTCATAAGTCCCAGCATCGTGCCAACTACAGAAACAGTTTCAGAGACGTCAAAAACTTTGCTACAGYCGTTTGTAAGAAATCGTACCAACAAATTCATAGAGAAAGTAAGCCTTCACTCAACACAAAACAAAAAACCAAAATCTGAGGATTCCAGCCATGCAATTTTATCAAACAACAGCCAAAAAGAAAAAAACAACAGTAACTCATCCACGCTATTCTAATAGGAGCGGCTCGTTCCGCTCATTCACTCAACCGAACTCGCAAGAAAAAGGAAATGATAGAAATAACAATACAACGCATAAAACGATAACTCCTATGGTCGGTTGCAGATAGTCAATGTAAATGTTCATTCAGAGGGAGAGAGAGAGAGAGGATACGCCAAACGAAGCATGATCGGAGCGCAGTTCCGGTTGGCAATGAGAGCGCGGAGGTCACGGCGAGCCCTGTCGATCTCCTTGAGGTATTCGGTGTCTACGACGGGGAGCGCCATGGAAACGAACAAACAACAGAGGAAGAAGAATCAATGGCGATTGGATATTATGGTTGGAAGAAGAGCGAACCAAACTCAACAGATTGCCTCGAACTTAGCAAACAAAATTTTCCCCCAAATTGATAACGCTCCCTCCAATCTCCTCATCCTCTGGGCCATGGATCGCCACGCGGCTTTATGCTAAAATTTCAGTGAACCAAAATTTTTTATTTTTATTATTATTATTATTATTTTGATTGGAATTTTAGAATTCTAGGTCCGTTGCCGTCTGAAGTCAAACAAAAATAAATAAATCAATTTTGGAATTTAATGCACCGTTTTTCCTTCTTTATTTTTAGGGGATTGGGATTCCTTTCTTCTTCTTTTTTTCCTCTCTTTTCATTTTTTTGGTGAAATTGAACCAAATTTTAATATATGAATTTTTTATCACAACTTAACAGTTAAAAGACATTTTGTTGCTTTTCATTCAATTTTATATCCTTATATCCATCGTGTTTAAACAAAAAAGAAAAAAAAACTATAATTAAGACATCTACATTAAAGTGTGTCCCAAATTATTTTTTTTTATTAAAATAGTAATATTTTACAAGGATATACTAAAAGTAAATTTGATGTCAAAATGACTTCTAAATATGTCAGTAGCTTATAATTCTTGTTGTCTCGTAGTTTAGCTTAACTTTATTAAGCGTATTTGGTTCATTCCATAAAGTAGGGTAAGTAATAAAAGACACGCTAAGCTTAATAAGGTAGGTCAAAGAGTTCATTTCAATGAAGTACAAATAAAGAGTTCAAGGTCAATATGAACATAATTCAATGGTAAATGACGTCTACTTCAAAGAATTTATGTTTTTTTTTAATCTGTTTTCAAAATAAATATTTAACAGAATTATCGACAATTTATTTCAAGTGTATTACTTGATGTCCTTTGTTACACTTGGTATCTAAATGATCACTTTTGGAAACCAAACTAAAAGAATGTATATTACAATATAAAGAGCTGTGCAATTTAATTGAGTTGAATTATTAGTATTTTCTTGTGATGAATCGTAAAAAAAAAAAAAATCATTCTACTATTTTCACTCAAATCAAAAGAAACTACCAACTTAAACATATTATATTTGATGTCTCTTCATTAACACTTGGTATTTGAACTACCACGTTCGAAAACCATATTAAAAGAATGTAAAATACAATATGAAGAGTTGTGCAATTTAAATGAGTCGAATTATTAGTATTTTCATAAAATCAAAAAAATCATATTCCATCTGCTTTTATTCAAATTAAAAGAAACTACCAACTTGGACATAACTCAATAGTTAAAGACATATTTCCTATCAAAACGCAGAATGAAGTTTGAATCTTCATCCACGGACTAAATAAAGTAAGAAAACCAAAAGAAACTAAGAAAATAAATATTTCAATTAACATAATCAACTGTTTCAATTCTGCCATTCTGTTACAAAAGTATTGATACCAATCCCAAATTGTGAAAGGAAATTTTGACTGCTTTATTTAATCACCGTCCATGTACATAAAGAAAAATATAACAAATGAATCTGATATCATAAAAGGAGGGGGGAAATGTCTTTCCTGTCCCTCTTGCTGTATGTATTCCTCTGGCTCCAAAGAAGAGAAAACTAAGCAAGAAAAAGGAGTGAGTTCAGGATGAAGTCCTCCATTGGAGCTCAATCTGAATCCTTCCATTCTTTGAGTCTATAAGATGGTATTTTTCATTTATCCTTTTGTTGGTAACAACGTCAGACAGACCGATCTCGACGTATCCTAGAGATTCCTGTTCCAAAAAGGGAGTCTCACTCGTCACTTTCAAATCACTCAAACTGAGTTTGACATGAGTTTTGTAAAGGTGTGATTCTGTGGTAAATGGTGGTTTTAGAATAAGCACTCATTCAGAACTCATCCTAAAAGTATTTACTGAAGAAGTACTCTACTTATAAACTCTCAAAAGCATACAAACTCACTCTGAAAAAACATTGTACAGGTTGGACCAGCCTTAAACCACGGGTTAACAAAGAACTGTTAGTAAGGTTTAAAAACTATTGCGGTCCTATACTTTTGGCTTTGGTTCACTTTGGTTCCTGTATATACACAATGTTCATTGTGGTCCTTGTAATTTAAATTTTTGTTTACGTTTTTCTTTGTACTTTCAAAATATTTGAAGTAAAGGGACCAAAATAGACGTTTCGAAAGTACAAAAACTAAAATGAACAAAATTTAAAAATACAGGGACATTTTAAAAGTACGGAGATCAAAGTGAATAAAAGCTAAAAGCATAAGGACCAAAATAGTATTTAAACCTATCAGTAATTTTAGTTTCATTTTCTCCGAGTAAAAGCGTGAATCATAATCCGTTCTGCTACCTAAAAGTCCTTCAATCTCAAGAGCTTGCCAGATACTGATTATTTGTACACAACCTTTATAACAAAATACCAGAATTTTTCTTTAAAAACTTGTTCTTGTTTTTTAAGAGATTCAAACACTCATTAAATCTAGATATACTAGTGCAATTCCAGGCTGATAACCTGTAATTCCTGAAAGATTATGATTTGTTTGTCGATCGGATATTCTGCTACTGTCCATTTCAAGGCAGCAATTTCATTTACTATCTAAGACTAAAAAGACTTGTATTGAAGAAAAACAGTTGGTAACCATGTACCTTGGGATGCAAGAGGCCCATTCTTGATGAGGAGCTGAGAACTTCCACATATAATTTGTCATCTGTGGGTGGTTCTTCCAGCATAAATTCAAACTCTTCCTCCCATCTGGGGTCTCTGTTCTTCTTCAAACGCTGCAGAAAAAAAAAGGAAATTTATTATCTGGTTGTAAGAGGCTAAGAGCCTTAAGATCTCAATACTATAAAAAAGAGTAAGAAAACAAGAACATTTTCGAAAAACAAGACAGGACATGTAGTGGTACAACTATGATTCTTGTGAAAAACAAAAATCTCTAGAACCTGTCACTTGTTACATGAATGGTTTTGCGGTTGATTGTCCTAACAGTATTCTTAAGGGTAATTTGGTAATATTTTTGTTTCTTGTTTTTGGTTTCTAATTTTCACCTTTTGAGAAACATCGGGTTACAAATTTTATTATTTGTCATTTCTAGAGGTGAGTAATCAGATGAAACCTCCATCCTTCCCACCAACCAGATCCTGATGATGATGATAGTAAAGCAAGATCTTGTTGATGAATTAGAATCGTTAAGTTACCTTAGTTCTTTTCTCTTCCCCTTTGAAAAGAAGCCTCACATATGGATTGTTGTGGTGCTTGCCTTCAACATCTTGAGCTTCATGAACGATAACTACGAGTAGACCTCCATTTTCAGGCGTTCCTTCAGGAGCGTCCTTTACCTTCATTGTTTCATCAAAGTCTGCTGCTACTTCGCCTTCCTTAAATGGCTTGTACATCAATTCAACCACAATCTGTCCCCTATTCTTATCATTTTGAGGATCATTCGAATTCATGTTCTTCAGCAGGTCAAGAGTGAAAACTTTCAGCTCATCAGGAGGAAGATCTTTCAAAGGGACTACATTTATGCCCATCTTATCATGTTTGCCAACCTTTGAACATTAACAACATGATTCAGTAACAAAAACATAAAATATAAACTAAACAGAACTAAGGAAAGCAAATCAAATCAAACCTAGCCTCGCTCAATGG